GGGGGGCTCTGCAACTTACTTGGCTGCTTCTTGCTCCTCGTGGCCCGACTGAGGGCTGCTGGGAGCAGGGGGCGGGGCTTGTTGCGTGTGCCCACCCCCTGGGCTCCTTACTGCCGGAGCTCCGCTCCTGTGCGATCCCGCAGGAAATGACCCCTGCCCCTAGTTTGGAAATCTGTTGAGACCCAGGAAGAGGGCTGGAGCTTGGCAAGCAGAAGATCCCAGGCTGTATCCTCAACATCGCTGGTTTAAGAACAAAAGAGATCACCGCGGCAAAAACTGTTATAGCCATGAAGTGGAAGGACGCAACCCCCCCCCCCATGGTGCAACAATAGAATTTGAAAATGTGGGATTACTTTATCCTAGATAAAATTACTGATGCAATTTCAGAAAGGCAATCGAATTCGGTAAGACGCACTAGTCTCCTCAAGAAGTGGGCGCCTCTTATGGAATATAAGCTCCAACAAAGCAAGTAGTATACAAGATAAAGACAACTGCATGTTGTTACCAACTATCCACTTAGCCTTGAGTTGGTGTTACATTCAATTCGAACAACATGATCTTACCTTTGTGACGTTTGACACTGATCTGGTTTTTATTGTTGTTGCTGTAACCATGTTTGATACTGTTATTGTGCTTCTGCTAATCTATTTATTTATTTATTTAATTACATTTATACCCCGCCCTCCCCGCAAGCGGGCTCAGGGCGGCTTGTACATGATATGTTACCCTATGCTATTGATGTGTTACCCTATGCTATTTTGTATGAGGAACATTGCCCGAATCCTCCTGTTTCTTATGTATTGTTTGATATTCAATAAAAGTTATTCAAAACCAAAAAAAAGAAGAAGAAGAAGTTCTGTTGGATCAGGCCAGTGGCCCCTCCAGTCCAACACTCTGTGTCACACAGTGGCTCAAACCCAGGGGCCATCAGGAGGTCCAGCAGCAGGGCCAGGACTCCAGAAGCCCTCCCACTCTTGCCCTCCACAAGCACCATGAAAACAGAGAATCACTGCCCCAGACATAAGAACATAAGAGAAGCCATGTTGGATCAGGCCAGTGGCCCACCCAGTCCAACACTCTTGTATCACACAGTGGCCAAAAATACCAAGGGCCATCAGGAGGTCCACCAGCAGGGCAGGAACTCCAGAAGCCCTCCCTACTCTTATACCCCCCAAGCACCAAGAATATAGAGCATCACTGCCCCAGACATAAGAATGTAAGAGAAGCCATGTTGGATCAAACCCATTAGTGGGGCCTGGCTGTCTCCCAGAATTACAACTAATGGATTTGATGAATATGACTACAAGATATGACTAGAGTGTTTGCCAAATGGATTAATATTATACTAGGAAAAAGGCCCGTTGTGGAAATAAATACAACGACCTCTAGAAAGAGGCTCTGGGCGGGTGCCCCAGCCTTGGACATAGTGTCAATTTGCTGTGGCGACCTCAGCAGGGTATAATGACACTGAGTCCACCATTTTCTCCAGATGAACTGATCTCTGCTACCTAAAGAACAGTTGTAATTTTGAGTGATCTCCAGCCCTCACCTGGAGATTGGCAACGATTGTTCCCCAGAAGGGAATGGTTGGTTTGGAGGGTGGAATCTATGGCTTTGTACCTGTCCGAGGTCCCACGCCTCCTGAAACCTCACCCTCTCCAGGCTCCATCCCTCACATCTCCAGGACTTTCCCACCTGGAGTTGGCAACCCTATCTCCTTCCCAGACAATCATCAACCTACCTTTATTTCCCCCTCACTCTTCAGCTTTCCACCCCCCACACACCTGCAGCCTCTACCGTGCTCTGAAGCCCTGAATGCTACATCACATTGGCTGTCATAGGGGGGCCACCTCAGCAGCATATAAGGATACAGAGCCCACCATTTTCTCCAGGGGAACTGATCTCTGCCATCTGGAAAGCAGTTGTAATTTTGAGTGATCTCCAGCCCTCACCTGGAGATCGGACACATTTTACCTCAGAACAGCAAACTGTTTAGAATGTTAGAGGCAAAAGCCAATCAAGTCGCATATGCAAACAACCTCTGTGTTCCGAGGCAAAGGCCAATGAGGCTGCATATGCAAATAACCTCTGTGTTCTGACTGGCTAGGGGGGGGGGGAGAGGAACAGCAAACTGTTTAGAATGTTGGAGGCAGGACTCAGGCAAAGCAGCCAGTGGATAGGGAGACCCTCTGAATGACACATCAGAGAGCGAACTGATTTTGGAGCGTGTGGAATGTTCTAAAGAAGTGTAGACTAGAGGGATTGAGAGAGACAAATGTGCTGTGATTGGTGGATGACAGAGCGTGGGAGGGTTTTTTGAAGTGAATCTGTGTGGGTGTGTCAGTGTGTCAGTTATGAGAGACTGTTAGAAATCAGTTGGGATTGTTCAGTTGGAGAGTTGTCCCTGAGTGTTCAGTTAGTTCTGACTGAGTTCTTAAAGAGGGCAGTCTAGATGTCCTTAGCCTGCGTGGCTGACTATAGGACAGAGTGATTCCTGTTAATGTTGGAAATGAGTGTCAAAACAAGCAAAAAGTAAAGGAAAAAAGACTGCGTGTGGGATACATTTGATAGACATATTTTCAAGTCCATTTCTCCAAGATAGTTACCTCATATTTTGTTCTTACTTCACTAAATCATCTTTTGTTCAAGTTTATCCCCGAATTTAGTTCTACCTTTCTTCAAGACCACATAGAACCCTGAAAAGCCCCGAATCTAGGTCACTTTACCAGCAAAAGAAACAGATACAAGGTTTGGAAATCCTTAAATTCCTGGTGGCGGCAGAAAGTACCCCGTTTACAAAAGCAAAGAGCACATTTAAAGGGGAAACCAGTCCTCCCTAAAGAGAGGACGCCACACATGGCTCCTTGGTGTCGATGGCGTTTGAATTGCTTCCAGTAAACTGAATACTGATAAAAGAATTTACGGGTCTATGAAGAACTTTTTTTTTTTGGCACTGTACATCATGGGGGTTTGCTTCCTTTCAGCTCCCATCCCGTGATCTCTCTCTTTGGATTGCAGCCTCCAGGTGGGACCTGGGGATCCCTCGGAATTATAGCTCATCTCCAGATGGATCCCCTGGAGAAAATTGGTGCTCTGTAGGGTGGGCTCCATTGTACCCCACTGAGGTCCCTGTCCTCCCCAGGCTCCACCCCCAAATCTCCAGGGGTCTCCCAACCTGGAGTTGGCAACCCGACCCCCCCCCCACACACACACACCATCAGGGACCACAGAGGACCTGGCAACCTGATCAGCACCACGTCATGCCTCCGGAGCAGGGGATTCGGGGATTCCGAAACGGCATGGCGGTGCAGCCCCAAAATGGCTGCCGAAGGAGGTGGAGCCAGCCCCAAAATGGCTGCCGCAGCTTGCCTTTGGTCACATTGTGAAGATGAGTGGGCTGTGGCAGCAGCCAGTGTTAAGAACATAAGAACATAAGAGATGCCAATGTTGGATCAGGCCAGTGGCCCATCCAGCCCAACACTCTGTGTCACACAGTGGCCAGAAATACCAGGTGCCATCAGGAGGTCCACCAGTGGGACCAGGACACCAGAAGCCCTCCCACTGTTGACCTCCCCAAGCACCAAGATGACAGAGCATCACTTGCCCCAGAGCCCCTATCTGTGTTCTGTCTAAGCTGAATTAGTGTGAGCCAGCTCACAGTTTTTTAGCCTCTGGCTCACGCATTTTTGTCTCCGCTCAGGAAGGAGGGCTCCGGAGCAAACGAATTTAGGCAGCAGCCCAATCGCTCGCTCACAACTTGAATGCCAGTCGCTCACAAAGTAGGATTTTTGCTCACAACATGACACAGAGGGAGCACTGGCGAAACCTGGCCTAGTAGGTTTCAATCTCCATTTGCGGGGGGCCCTCAACTCTCGCAGTGCGCCCCAACTCACTGGGCAGGATTGTAGACAGAGATTTCTTCCAGCAGGCGGGTCTCCACCGTGGAGTTCTCGTGGGTTCCGGCGACGACCTTCAGCACGGTCCCGTCTTCTGAGCCCAGGAAAAGAACGGTGTAGTTCTGGAATGGGCCAGCAGCCGTGTCCACAGCTAGCCGGGTCAGCTTGTACCTGCGGAGCGATGGGGAAAAGGCTGTTAGCCGGGCAAATCCTCGATACGCCAAGGGTCCCGGGTTCGATCCAGCCCAAAGGATTTTGCGGGGGCACAATGGGAATGGGCAACACGGATGACTGCGCGGATCCAGGACTTCCTTGTGTACAGAAGGCTCGGCCTAGGATAGAGTTGCCAACCTCCAGGTGGGGGCTGGAGATCTGGAACGACAGCTGACCTCCTGACTACCGTGTTTCCCCGAAAGTAAGACATCCCCCGAAAATAAGACCTACTTACAGTTTTGCCTCTCGCTGAAATATAAGGCATCCCCCGAAAATAAGACCTCCCCGATAATAAGGCCCCCCCGGAGCAGACAGGAAGTGCGAGGTCTCTTTTAATCAGAGAGCCCGTGCCGCCGCCAGGACAAGCTGCCGCCTGCTGCTCACTCTGCCCTGACAGAGTGTACCGTATTCTTCTTAATAAGACATCCCCTGAAAATAAGACCTAGTGCATCTTTGGGAGCAAAAATTAATATAAGTCACTGTCTTATTTTCGGGGAAACACGGTACATAAATGGCACTAGCCAAATAACTAGAATTTTTTGCTTACAAGATGCCACATCTTAGAGGGAACATTGCCCACGATATTCGTGTGTGTGGGGGGGGGGAGCTCCATGCGGAGGAGGAGGAAACAGGCGCAGGTAAGCCTTCTCCCCCCCCCCCCCCCCCCCCCCCAGGAGGGCCCGTGTGTCTCCCGCCGGGTCCGCCAAGCCTTCTTAGGTGTGTATCTGTAAGCTGCAAACCTACGAAGATGCAGCAGCGGCAGGACTGGAAGAAGAAGAAGCAGAAGACAGCCGGTTCCACTGTGGCAGGCCTGATAGAAGCCCTCCGGGCCGCATGATTCACACCCCTGCGCTACATGATTATACCTCACTGAGATCCCTCCCCTCCTCAAATCCCACCTCCCCCAGGATCCACCCCTGAATCTCCAGGAATTCCCCAAACTGGAGTGGGCAACCCTGTCTGAAGGCCCTTGCCGCCACTCCCATGCGGAAGCTCCTCTGGTCAGGGGCTAGGCAGTGCTTGGATAGGAAACAGGGTTTGCCAGCTCTGGGTTGGGGAAATCCTGGAGATTTGCGGGTGGGGCCTGAGAAAGGCAGGGCTTGTAGAGAAGAAGAGATTGGATGTATACCCCGCCCTTCACTACCCGAAGGAGTTCCAGAGCGGCTTACAAACTCCTTTCCCTTCCCCTCCCCACCACAGACACCCTGTGAGGCAGGTGGGGCTGAGAGAGCTCTTGACAGAAACTGCTCTTTTTCAAGGACAGCTCTTATCAGAACTAGGGCTTGCCCAAGGTTATCCAGCAGGTACAAGTGGAGGAGTTGGGAATCAAACCCGGTCCTCCCAGATTAGAGTCCGCGTACTTCACCACGACACCAAACGCACTTAACCACTACACTGACCTCAGCAGGTCATAATGCCCTGGAGTCCACCCTCCAAAGTACCCATTTCCTCCAGGAGAACTGATTTCCGTGGCCTGGAGACCTGTTGTGATTTGGGGAGATCGCCAGGTCCTGCCTGAAGGCTTGGCAACAAACGTGGGAAAAACACCATGTTCAAACAAAACGCACAGTTTTGATATGCAACTATGCCTTCATAGATTCGTTTAACTCATATGCTTAAACATACAATAAAGAGCCTAGTGCATCTTATTAATTATAGTACCTTGGTAGCCAAAACCTAAAGAACAATATATATCTTGTAGAAAAGTCCACAGCTACGGGGACAAACATACAGACAGGATTCAATGCTCTAGGCCAGGGGTGGCCAAATTTGTTTAACGTAAGAGCAACATAGAATAAACATCAGATGTCTGAGAGCCGCAAAACACGAACAAATACTACACATGTTTTTATTGAAAAAATATGCAAAGATGATTTTTATTAACATTAAACGAGACTGCCAAAAATAGAAACAAAAGGGGTAAGAACAGATATTTATTTGCTTGCTAATGATATTTATTTGTCTAAGAGAGAAAGAGAGAGAGAGAGGTGGAAAGAAAGAATGAAAGGTGGAGAGAGAGAGAGAGAGAAGCAAAGAAAGCAAATAGATGAGGGGAGGGAGGGGGAGGGAGGGAGGGGGAGAAAGGAAGAAAAGAAGAGAGAGAAAGAATGGAAGGAAGAAAGAATGGAAGGGTGAGAGACAAAGAAAGGTGGAAAGAAAGTGGAAAGAAAGCAAATAGATAAGGGGGGAGAAAGGAAGGAAAGAAGAGAGAGAAAGAGAATGGAAGGAAGAAAGGGAGAGAGACAAAGGTGGAAAAGAAAGTGGAAAGAAAGCAAATAGATGGGGGAGGGAGGGGGAGAAAGGAAGGAAAGAAGAGAGAGAAATAGAATAGAAGGAAGAAAGGGAGAGAGACAAAGAAAGGTGGAAAGAAAGAAAGTGGAAAGAAAGCAAATAGATGAGGGGAGGGAGGGGGAGAAAGGAAGGAAAGAAGAGAGAGAAATAGAATAGAAGGAAGAAAGGGAGAGAGACAAAGAAAGGTGGAAAGAAAGAAAGTGGAAAGAAAGCAAATAGATGAGGGGAGGGAGGGGGAGAAAGGAAGGAAAGAAGAGAGAGAAATAGAATAGAAGGAAGAAAGGGAGAGAGACAAAGAAAGGTGGAAAGAAAGAAAGTGGAAAGAAAGCAAATAGATGGGGGAGGGAGAGGTGGAAAGAAAGCAACTTTAGCTTTAAATATGTTCCCCAACTCCCCCCCCCATGCTCCCACACTGGCTGACTTGGCTTGGAGAAGGGATTTAAAGAGATAAATGCCTTCTCCGAGCCAGCTGGTGTGTGTGTGTGTGGGAGCTTTGAGAACATACTTAAAGTTGCTTTCTTTCTCTGCTCCCCCCCACCTCAAGCCTACCCAGGGAGGGGAACACTGGCTGGGGAAGGGAAGACCGATCAGGGAGGTATGCCTCCCCTTCCCTTCCCCAGCCGCCCTGCCGGGAGCCACACATTATGTGTGAAAGAGCCACATGCGGTGCCTGACCCACAGTTTGGCCACCCCTGCTGTAGACTATCTTGCATTCTGATGAGAGACTGATGAGAGATGCAGCAGTTCTCAACGCCAATGTCGTAGGCTGTTTTGCTTTCCGGAAAGAGATCCAGCAAGCATCAAAGCGCAACACGCTTCCTGGGCAAAAGTTGAGTGTTTCGAGAAATTCTTCTTCGGGCAGATTATTTCTCCTGGAACCAAAGCTCACCATGCGACAATGCATGAGTCCAACAACTCTTGATTGTGTATTTAAGTATATGATTAAAACAAATATAGGAAGGCCTAGTAGCATATCAGAACGGTGTGTTTTGTTCCAACACGGTGTTTTCCCACGTTTACCGTGCCAGAAGGCTGGCAACCCCAGGAGACCTCTTGTAGTTTGGTGTCGTGGTTAAGTGCGGGGACTCTAATCTGGGAGAACCGGGTTTGATTCCCCACTGCTCCACTTGCACCTGGTTGGATGACCTTGGGCAAGCCGTAGTTCTGACAAGAGCTGTCCTTGGAAAAGAGCAGTTTCTCTCAGAGCTCTCTCAGCCCCACCGACCTCACAGGGTGTCTGTTGTCTAATCTGGGAGAACCGGGTTTGATTCCCCACTCCTCCACTTGCACCTGGCTGGATGACCTTGGGCCCGGCCTGGAAGTTGGCAGCCTGCTTCCCGTCCGCCTCACGAGAGTTGAGGTTTGGTTGCCAAGGAGGAGAGGAGCAGGCGATCGGACAATCAAGCCAAAGAGGTCAGAGCTAGAAAGCGGACTGCTCGGAGCTCCACAAAACAGGCTCTGGAATTCCATTCCAAAGCCGCCCTGACCTGGATAGCTCACACTAGCCCACTCTCATTGGACCTCAGAAGCTAAGCAGGATCAGTGGGGGGTTAGTCCTTGGATGGGAGACCACAAAAAGACCGCGGCCTCTACGTAGGGGCAGGCAACGGCAAACCACCTCTGAATCTCTCTTGCCTTGAAAACCCTACAGGGTCTTCATAGGTCAGGTGTGACTTGATGGCATAAGAAACAGAGAAAACAATGAAGACAGATCAAGAGAGACTGCTGAATTGCAACTGAGAACGCAGCTCAAGACAACGCATCCTCCCGGACTGAATCGAGACCTAGGTTTCCTGTCTCACCACCAGTGCTGATTTCTCCATGCCACCTGCCCCTCTGCAGATCTCACCTAAATCCAGTCATGCCTGCGGTTGTCATTCACCTGCTATTGTCATGCACCTGCTATTGTCATTCGGCACCCGAAATCACTCCACTCTTCAGATATAAGGATGGAGGGACTCACATCCTAGTTGTATCTGAAGAAGTGGGCAGCGACTCACGAAAGCTCCTCCCCTGCCACAGATTTTGTAAGTCCCCCGGTTTCAGGTGCTCCTCTCCACCCACCACTTACCACCTCCAACAGGCAAGAAGCCGGAAATAAACACAACATGCCTATGTGACCCAGAAGTGATATAGGCACATCGGTGACGTGGTTGGGGGGTCGACACTCTGATTTCGGGACAAAACTCTATCATGGAAGCCAATTCTACCATAGAGTTGTGCCCAAAAGCCAGAGTGTCGCCCCACAACGTCCCAGACATGCCGACGTCACTTCCAGGTCACGTAGGCATGTTGTGCTTATTTTCACCGTTTCTCCCTGCTCCCGGTAAGTTCACCTCCAGGCCCTGCTGGTAGGTCCAAGAGACCGGGGAACCCCAAACCAGATCAGACCTGCCATAAAGCCAGATACGAAGGAGGAGGAGGAGGAGGAGGAGGAGGAGGAGAAGAGGTGAAGGAGGAGGAGATGGGATTTATACCCTGCTCTTCACTACCTGAAGGAGTCTCAGAGAAGCTTACAAACTCCTTCCCCTTCCCCTTCCGCACAACAGACACTCTCTGAGGTCGGTGGGGCTGAGAGAGAAGAAGAAGAAGAAGAAGAAGAAGAAGAAGAAGAAGAAGAAGAAGAAGAAGAAGAAGAAGAAGAAGAAGAAGAAGAAGAAGAAGAAGAAGAAGAAGAAGAAGAAATTGGATTTATACCCCGCCCTTCACTTCGAGTCTCAGAGCGGCTTACAAACTCCTTTCCCTTCCCCTCCCCACAACAGACACCCTGTGAGGTGGGTAGGACTGAGAGAGCTCTGACAGGAACTGCTCTTTTTCAAGGACAGCTGTGCCAGAGCTTGTGACTGACCCAAGGTCACTGCAAGTGGAGGAGTGGGGAATCAAACCCGATTCTCCCAGATTAGAGTCCGCGCACTTAACCACTACACCAAACTGGCTCTTGAGAGAACAGCTCTGAAAGAACTTGTGACTGACCCAAGGTCACACCAGCAGCTGCATGTGGAGGAGTGGGGAATCGAACCCAGTTTCCCCAGATTAGAGTCTGTGCTCCTAACCACGACACCAAGCTGGCTCTCAGAGGGGAGTGGTAGATGGCCCAGGCCTGCCCAACTGGATCCAGCCCCCTTGCCTGGCGGCGCTTCACCTGCTGGAGGTCTTGGAGAACCACGGGCTCTCTGTGACGGACGGGACGGCCTCATCCAGCAGCGGGAAGGACTTGATGAACCCGAGCATCTCGTCTGGGAAGTCGTTGGAGGTTCTGTAACTTGAGGCTTGCCCGACACCGGCACAGCTGCCTGGCCTGAAAGAAAAATCCAGAAAAGAGGCCACGGATCAAGACCCGAGTGCCGCGTGGTGGAGTGAGCTCCCGTCTCTGGCCCCGGCGCCTGCCAACCTAGCCGTTCGAAAGCAAGACATTGCAAGTAGGAAAATAGGCACCGCTTTGGTGGGAAGGTGACAGCGTTCCATGCGCCTCGGCATCTAGTCACGCCGGCCACATGACCACGGGAACGTCTTCGGACAGCGCTGGCTCTTCGGCTTGGAAACGGAGACGAGCACCGCCCCCTAGAGTTGGATCCGACTGGCTGTTGAGCAAGGGAAACCTTTACCTTTGCCTAGCGGAGAACCGTAGAAGGGGGCAGCCAGAGCAGTGAGATTCTGTGATCCCAGATGGAGATCACAAAGCCCTCGGCTCTGACGGCTGTGTGGGAATCTCTGCCCATTCAAATGACACACCTGGGGGGATCCACATTCTATTGTACAATACCCGTAACCAGGGGTCATTTTGTAGAAAAAGAGGTGCAGGAGCTCATTAGCATAACTCATTAGCATAACTTATTTGCATATGCCACACCCCCTGACATCACCGGAAGTGTGTCAGAAGGCAACACCCACCGCTCAGGCTCTGGCTGCTTCTTGCTCCTTGTGGCCCAGGGCTGCCCAGGCTCCCCTGGACTGTTTTGGATTGCCAGCTATTAGGTGGGGGGGGGGGTGCAGATCTGTCCTCACAGAGGAGGGAGAGCTTGTACCTGAATAAAACTTGGTCTTAAAGGTGCCACTGGACTGTTTTGGAGCAGGGGCCAGGGAGAGCTCTGCAACTTACCTGGCTGCTTCTTGCTCTGACTGAGGGCTGCTGGGAGCAGGGGGTGGGGCTTGTTGCATGTGCCCACCCCCTAGGCTCTTTACTGCCGGAGCTCCGCTCCTGTGCGCTCCTGCAGGAAATGACCCCTGCCCGTAACCAATGTTCCCTCCAGGGGTCATTTCGTAAAAAAAGAGCTAGGGGGACTCATTAGCATAACTCATTAGCATATGCCACACACCCTGACATCACCGGAAGTGTGTCCTCCCCACAGCCGGCGGCGACCTCCAGTGGGCACCAGCAGGGAGCTCCAGGCCCAACCCTCCCGCACCTCACCCGGGGGGATGGCGTCCCCCCGCGTCCCCCCCCAAAATGACCCCTGGTTCTCTCTAAGCTGAGGAGTCTTGTGACCCAAAATTCTACTTTGTGAGCTACTGGCATTAAAGTTGTGAGCAAGCGATTTGGCTACTGCATAAATCAGTCTGCTCTGGAGCCATCCCTTCCTGAGTGGAGACAAAAATGTGTGAGACGGAGGCTAAAAAACTGTGAGCTGGCTCACACTAACTCATCTTAGAGGGAACACTGCCCGTAACTCACAAATTATTTAAAGTGGACAGATTTGCATGGGGTCCCCTGCCTCAAAAGACTAGAACCCAAGAGCATCCAATGAAGCTGATGGCCAATCGGTCCAGGACAGACAAAAGGAAACATTTCTTTTACACAGCGAGGGATGAAAAGGTGGGATTGGCTGCCAGAGGATGTAGTGATGGCCACAGGCAGAGACGGCTTTAAAAGAGGGGTAGGAAGGTTTTAGCCACAGCAGCTAAAGGGAACCTCCACGTTCAGAGGCAGTCAACCTCTGAATCCTAGTACCAGGAGGGAATGTGAGGGGAAGGCCTCGGCCTCTCTGCCCTGTTGCTGGCCCTCCAGAGGAACTGGCTGGCCCCTGTGTGAGACGGGAAGCTGGACTAGATGGACCCTCCCTGGTTTTTCCGATGTTCTTCTCAGGGGAAGGCCTCGGCCTCTCTGCACCGTTGTTGGCCCTCCAGAGGAATGGGTTGGCCCCTGTGTGAGACGGGATGCTAGACTAGAGGGACCCTCACTGGTCTGATCCAGCAGGGCTCTTCTGATGTCCTTGTGTCCTTTATTTGGTGCAGATTATTCTGTATTTTAACAATGAGTTGGCCAGATTAATTTTGTTCCGGTTATGGCAGAGGGAGAGAAGACTTGGACATGGAGTTTCTTTCCCTCTCCTCCCAGCCGCTGGAAGCACTGTTCAGTCATCTCTCTGTCTCTGGTGACAGTCAGTAGACATCACCCCCATATCAAGCAGATCATGGGAATCAGGGGTCATTTTGTAGAAAAAGAGGCGCAGGAGCTCATTAGCATATTTGCATAGGCCACACCCCCTGACATCACCGGAAGTGTGTCAGAAGGCAACACCCACCACTCAGGCTCCACTGGACTGTTTTGGATTGCTAGCTATTGGGGGGGGGAGTGTAGATCTACCCTCACAGAGGAGGGAGAGCTTGTACCTGAATAAAACCTGGTCTTAAAGGTGCCACTGGACTTTAGGATTGCTAGCTATGGGGGGGGAACGTGCAGATCTGCCCTCACAGAGGAGGGAGAGCTTGTACCTGAAGGCGGGCCCGGGGGGGGGTGTGCTCTGCAACTTACCTGGCTGCTTCTTGCTCCTCATGGCCCAACTGAGGGCTGCTGGGAACAGGGGGTGGGGCTTGTTGCATGTGCCCGCCCCCTGGGCTCCTTACTGCCGGAGCTCCGCTCCTGTGCGCTCCCACAGGAAATGACCCCTGATGGGAATCATAAGGGCTAGAAACTTGCTTGCATTTTGCCAGCCAAGGTTCTCCAGGAGTCAGTTTCTATTTCCACTGTGCCACTTTCCCTGCCCTCTTGTGGAATTGCGTGCACCAGCACAGAAAAGCCGGTCTGCCACTAGTCACGACCACTTCTGGGTGGGCTTCCCTTTCCGAAGACTACAGGGGAAGTTGCCGTACCTGGGCTTTGGCACTTTCTCCTCTGGGATGGGAGTCCAGGCGGAATCGGCGTTCTTCTGCTCCTTGAACTTCCCGCCGAACACTCGTTCCACCTCATCCATGTAGAAGGCACAGACGGCGGAGCCCGTGATGCTGGAAGGGAGACAGGGACTAGGAATGACAAGGCTCCAGAGATTTACAAGATTATGCATGGGAAAGAGCAGGTAGAGAAAGAGGTACTTTCCCCCCTTCCTCACAATACAAGAACTCGTGGGCACTCCATGAAATTGCAGAGCGGTCGGGTTAGAACGGATAAGAGGAAGTACTTCTTCACCCAAAGAGTGATTCACACTTGGAATTCACTGCCGCAGGAAGTGGTGGCGGCTACAAGTATGGGCGGCTTCAAAAGGGAATTAGATAAGCATCTGGAGCAGAGGTCCATCAGTGGCTATTAGCCACACGGTATAGATAGGGGCTCTGGGGCAAGTGATGCTCTGTCTTCTTGGTGCTTGGGGGGGTCAACAGTGGGAGGGCTTCTAGTGTCCTGGCCCCACTGCTGGACCTCCTGGTGGCACCTGGTATTTCTGGCCACTGCGTGACACAGAGTGTTGGACTGGATGGGCCTTTGCCCTGATCCAACATTGGCGTCTCTTATGTTCTTATATGGAGCAGAGGTCCATCAGTGGCTCTTAGCCACAAGGTATAGACAGGGGCTCTGGGGCAAGTGCGGGGGGGGGGGGTCAACAGTGGGAGGGCTTCTAATGTCCTGACCCCACTGCTGGACCTCCTGATGGCCCCTGGTATTTCTGGCCACTGTGTGATACAGAGTGTTGGACTGGATGGGCCTTTGGCCTGATCCAACATTGGCATCTCTTATGTTCTTATGTTCTCCAGAGGTCTTGGAGGTAGTGGTGGTGGGAGGGGGCACAAAAACTGCCCCCCCAATGAATATAGCAGCATTCAGTTCCCTGACTCGACATTTGGTTTAACCTCGAAAAGAGCAAGAGTCCAGGAGCACCTTAAAGACTAGCAAGATTTGTGGCAGGGGAGGAGCTTTTCGTGAGTCACGGCTCACTTCTTCAGATACTCGCCACAAACGTTGTTAATCTTTCAGGTGCTCTTGCTCTTTTAGACTGCTACTTTCCAAAGTGTCTAAATCATACGGCGAAGCCCGGAAACAGGAAATCCAAATGGCACCAGCCTGCAACAGTATTCTTACCCACCAGTACTCCACAACGAATCGTAGAACCATAGAATTGGAAGGGACCTCCAGGGTCATCTACTCCAACCCCCTGCACAAGGCAGGAAAGGTTGAAAGAGTTGGGTATGTTTAGCCTGGGAAAGAGACGGCTTAGAGGGGACATGATTGCAGTCTTCAAGTATTTGAAGGGCTGTCATGTAGAAGACAGCGTTCCGTGCACCTTGGTGTCTAGTCAAGCCGGCCACATGACCACGGAAACGTCTTCGGACAGCGCTGGCTCTTTGGCTTTGAAACGGAGATGAGCACCGCAACCCTAGAGTCGGATTTGACTGGCTTTCGAGCAAGGGAACCTTTACCTTTACTTTACATGTAGAAGATGGAGCAGATCTGTTCTCTCTTGCTCCAGATTGCAAGACTCGATCGAATGGGTGGAAATTACAAGGGAGTTGATACCGGCTAAATATCAGGAGAAACTTCTTCACTGCCAGAGAAGTGGTTGAGCAGTGGGACACACTGCCTCGGGAGGTGGTGAATGCTCCTTCGCTGGATGTTTTCAAGCGGAGGCTGGATGACCATCTTCCGGGTATGTTGTAGGGCTGGCTTTCGGCTATGCTCCTGCAGAGTGCAGGGGGTTGGACTAGATGACCTGCAGGTTCCTTCCAACTTTAACATTCTATGAGTCTATAAATTCACAAATACCTCCCCCCCCCCCGCCCAGTGACCCCTGTTCCATGCCCAAAAAATGACAAGAAACCTCCAGGATCCCCGGACAAACTGGCCTGGAGAAAAATGGCTTCCGGACCCCAAAGTGGCGATCGGCATTTCCCTGGGCGTGTAAGAAAGGGCCACGAGAACTAAGCACTGATGCAGCCCTTCCCGCCCTCCCTCTCATGATCTGCCTGAGTGATCTTGTTATCATGATCTTGTTCAGTTATCATTATCTTGTTGCAATCCTTACAGCCCTGCGAGGCAGACCATAATGCAGGCTGGAAGATCGAGGAACCGCCTGTGATTTGTCTAAAGCCATCAAGTGGGTTTGTGGCCGAGGTGAGATTCAACCCTGCCACTTTGCGAGTCCCGGCCGGCTCATTCGCTTAAAGACCCCGTATGGCGGAGAAGTTGTTGACACTAAAAATCTGTCAAAACAAAACACCCCACCAGGCCGATCTATAGCAACTATCTTAAACACCCCGATCGCAAGTCCAGATGATCGATTGTCGTCCATCACTCACGAAACACGTTCGAGGAAATTGACAGGGCGCGTCTGCCGTTATCGATCACAAACGTCACGGACAGCTCAAGGAGGAAAACAAGTCGTTTGGAAAAGCTCTTTGGTAGCTCTCCCTTCTCTTGCTAGAAATGAGAGGGTTTTATTTTTATGCCGCGGCACAGACGGCTGCGAATGACACGCGTCACAATCCTGTTTGAGGAGGCCCCCCGGCAGAAGCTGAACAGAGACAAACAGCCTTTTCTTATTGCGAATATTGTCAGGAGACGATATATTTACGGCGCTGAGGTCATCTTGAAAGCCCCTTGGTGGGCACGGCTGGGTCAAGACGGATGGCTTTCAATAAACAAGCTTGTTTTTTGAAGGGCCACTGAGGACGGCCTCTGACCGAAAAGGCTCATTGTTTTTAATAAAGTTCAGTGTCGGCCGTTTTAACAACATAATGTCGATTGACTATATTGGACAAAGAGCCAACAGTTTTTTTCACATCTCTGGGGATGCGCTCGACAGCCAGCCTGTTAGGTACTTTTCTCCCTTTCTCACCATACAAGAACTCCTTGTGGGCACTCCATGAAATTGCTGAGCGGTCGGGTTAGAACGGATAAAAGGAAGTCCTTCTTCACCCAAAGAGTGATTGACGCATGGAACTCACTGCCACAGGAGGTGGTGGCGGCTACAAGCATGGATGGTTTCAAAAGGGAATTAGATAAGCATATGGAGCAGAGGTCCATCACTGGCTATTAGCCACAAGGTATAGATAGGGACTCTAGGGCAAGGGATGCTCTGTATTTTTGGTGCTGGGGGGGCAACAGGGGGAGGGCTTCTAATGTCCTGGCCCCACTGCTGGACCTCCTGATGGCACCTGGTATTTTTGGCCACTGTGTGACCCAGAGTGTTGGCCTGGATGGGCCATTGGCCTGATCCAACATTGGCGTCTCTTATGTTCTTATGTTAAGAGCAGAGGTCCATCAGTGGCTATTAGCCACAAGGTAGCTCTGTCTTCTTGGTGCTTGGGGGGGGGGGACAGTGTGAGGGCTTCTAGTGTCCTGGCCCCACTGCTGGACCTCCTGATGGCACCTTGTGTTTTTGGCCACTGTGTGACAGAGTGTTGGACTGGAAGGGCCTTTGGCCTGATCCAACATTGGCGTCTCTTATGTTCTTATAGTTTCATTGAGCGACAGAGACATGGTGCTTGTGGGCACCGTTGTGCCTGCCAACACCTTTCCTGGCACGCTCCAAGTGCTTTGAGAAAATGGGCGGGGCTAAACGGGCCTTTTTCCTGACAGGGCTTCTCATTGGCTATGCAGAATAAAAGGCATCCTATTAGACAGCACGTCTGCCTGTAATGTTGAAGGGGTATTGTTAAAGTTATATGTCACCTCGCTCCCTGATATTTCGAGGTTGGCTCTGCCTCCTGAGGCAGCCATTTTGTGACTGGCTGCACCTCCTGAGGCAGCCATTTTGTGACTGGCTGCACCTCCTGGGGCAGCCATTTTGTGACTGGCTGCACCTCCTGAGGCAGCCATTTTGTGACTGGCTGCACCTCCTGAGGCAGCCATTTTGTGACTGGCTGCACCTCCTGAGGCAGCCATTTTGTGACTGGCTGCACCTCCTGGGGCAGCCATTTTGTGACTGGCTGCACCTCCTGAGGGAGCCATTTTGTGACTGGCTGCACCTCCTGGGGCAGCCATTTTGTGATTGTGCCCAGGGACCTGTGTCAGGATTCCAAAGGTGCTCCCGGGCTTTAAGAAGTTGGGGACCCGTGGTACTAAGACACCAAAAAAGTGTTCAGAAAAGAGAATATAATTCTTACACATTGGGTTGGGGTGGTGGATTCTACTGTTTTAGGTTTAATCCCGAATTGTATCTCTCATGACGACTGCCCCAACTGCCTACCTCTACCCTGTCAGGAAGCCATCCTGTGACGAGGGAGGAGGAAAAGGTCTTGCGGGGGGTTACCTGTTGGACTGGGTGGTGAAGACTCCGAAGACGGCAGGCCGCCCATTCACCTGGGTCACGTTCGTCACAGCTTGGAGGACATCGAAGTAGAAGAAGGAATCCCCGGGCACCGAGCAGTTGAGGCGGGCCTTGAGGAAAGACGTCCAGTATTTCTCCAGCACTCGCGGGGAGCCGCCCATGTCGTTCTTACACACCCGTCCCACACGGGAAAAGATCACCTGCCACAGGGAGGAAAGAACATCATAAGAAAATATGAAAATCAGAAAAGCCCTGCTGGATCAGACCAGTGAGGGTCCATCTAATCCAACATCCTGTCTCACACAGTGGCCAACCAGTTCCTCCTCTGGAGGGCCAACAACAGGGCAGAGAGGCCGAGGCCTTCCCCGGAGAAGAACCTAAGAAGAGCCCTGCTGGGTCATACCAGCGGTCCATCCAGTTCAGCATCCTGTCTCACACAGAGGCCAACCAGTTCCTCTGGAGGGCCAACAACAGGGCACAGAGGCCAAGGCCTTCCCCTGAGAAGAACACCAAAAGAGCCGTGCTGGGTCAGACCAGTGAGGGCCCATCTAGTCCTACCTCCTGTCTCACACAGAGGCCAACCAGTTCCCCTGGAGGGCCAACAAAAGGGCATAGAGGCCGAGACACAGAGGTTATTTCGGGGGGGATCGCAGTTCCCCCGGGTGAGGTACGGGGGGTGGGGCACATGACGAAGCCCCGCCCCCTGCTTCCGGCCGCCCACCCCGGCGGGGGCGGGGTGTGTGGCCTTATGACACACTTCCGGTGATGTCGGGGTGGGGGTGGGGGTGGCCTTATGACACACTTCCGGTGATGTCAGGGTGTGTGGCATATGCTAATGAGTTATGCTAATGAGCCCCCCTAGCTCTTTTTCTACGAAACGACCCCTGCGCGAGACCTTCCCCTGAGAAGAACATCAGAGGAGCCCTGCTGGATCAGACCAGTGAGGGTCCATCTAGTCCAGCATCCTGTCTCACACAGTGGCCAACCAGTTCCTCTGGAGGGCCTACAACATGTTTTTTTAATCTCACCCTCTCTCGAAGGAGCCTAGAGAATCTCCATGTAAAGAGGCAGTTTACTGTTGGTATGATAAATGGTGGCAACAGGCTTTCTTAGAAATTCCCAGAAAGCCATCTGTTTGGGCGTGGCTGGGGGACCTGAGTGCTGAACTCAATGCACCTTTGGTCTGATACTGCACGGAAAGGAAACCCTAGAAACCATACCTTTGATTCATGACCTTCCCTCACTTGAGACACTGGGAGGGGTCATGGCTCACCGGCAGAGCCTCTGCTTGGCATGCAGAAGGTCCCAGGTTCAATCCTCGGAAGCTCCAGTTAAAAGGACCGGGCAGCAGATGATGGGAAAGACCTCCGCCTGAGACCCTGGAGAGCTGCTGCCAGTCTGAGTAGACCATACTGACCACGATGGACCCAGGGTCTGATTCAGTATAAGTCTGCTTTGTATGTTCATTGGGAGTGCAGTACTGTGGGGTTCAGGCTTCAAGGTGGCCAGCAGTTACTGCACTGCAACAAGGCCTTATTTTACTGAGCGTCAGGGGTCATTTTGTAGAAAAAGAGGTGCAGGAGCTCATTAACATATCTTATTTGCACAACTCATTTGCATATGCCACACCCCCTGACATCACCGGAAGTGTGTCAGAAGGCAACACCCACCGCTCAGGCTCCACTGGACTGTTTTGGATTGCTAGCTATTGTGGGGGACACGGACGTGCAGATCTGCCCTCACAGAGGAGGGAGAGCTTGTACCTGAAGGTGGGCCGGGGGGGCCCCGCGGCTCTACAACTTACCTGGCTGCTTCCTGCTCCTCGTGAACCAACTGAGGGCTGCTGGGAGCAGGGGGCGGGGCTTGTTGCATGTGCCCGCCCCCTGGGCTCCTTATTGCCGGAGCTCCGCTCCCGTGCGCTCCCGCAGGAAGTGACCCCTGCTGAGCATCCATCTACATGGGTAGCGGAAAGTGCTGTCCATTTGCAGACGACTTGCAGAAAGCCCGAAGGAGGTGATGTGCCCTTGCCTGCCCTGTGCACAGCAACCCCGGACTTCCACGGTGGTCTCCCATCCAAGTACTAACCAGGGCTGAACCTGCTTAGCTTCTGAGATCTGACGAGATCGGGCTAACCTGGGCCATCTAAGTCAAGGCAAGAGAGGCGCAGAGGTGGTTTGCCCTTGCCTGCCTCTGCGTAGCAACCCTGGAATTCCTTGCTGGTCTTCCATTGACGTGCTAACCACGGCCAACCCTGCTTAGCTTCTGAGATCTGACGAGATGGGAGTAGCCTGGGCCATCCTGGACAGAGCCCATCTACATTAAAAATGTCAAAGAAGTTGGCCCATTGGGACTCTCCCTTTCTCTCCCAACAGCAGCTCTGTACCTAGAGGGAGACCAAGGATCTCAAAGAGTTAATTCCAGGGCTATTTTTGGGCAGGAACACACAGGAACGGAGTTCCGGCTGGCTCCCAAGTTGGCCACACCCAGCAGGAACTCATTAGCATAATAAGCCACACCCAACAGCAGAAAGTCATTAGGATTGGCTACATTAGGGGTGTGTGGCCTAACATGCAAAGGAGTTCCTGCTACAAAAAAAGGCCCTGGGTTTTGACAACAAAGTAAACAGAATAAGAAGGGAAAGGTGGGTGTGGCTGGATAACCACACTTCTGGTAACATGGGGGGTGCGGCCTAATATGCTAATGAGCTGTGTTGTCAGGGGTGTGGCCTAATATGCTTATGAGTTTCTGCTGTTGGGTGTGGTCCATTATGCTAATGAGTTCCTGCTGGACTTTTTCTACAAAAAGAGCCCTGGTGAATTCCCTACATCCTTGCCAAATGATCCATTTCCCAGGGAGCCTTGGGGAAGTGAGAGGAAACCATTGGTGAACAGGAGGTTCATGTTTGCTGCATGAAAGGGTCCCAGCCCCACCCCCTCTTCATGGTCACTCACCCGACCAAGTGTGGTGTACTCCATGGAGATCTCACGGAAGAAGAAATAGATGTAGTCCCCATACTCCAGGGCATGCAGGAAATGAGGTTCTGAAGGAAAGGGGAGGAAAAGATCAGCGTAAGAACACCACAAGTGCCCGGCTGGATCAAACCAGTAGGACATCTAGCCCAGCATCCTATCTCACACAGTGGCCGAGGAGTTCCTCTCTAGAAGGCCAACAGCAGGGCAGAGAGGCCTAGGCCTTCCACTGAGGAGAACCCAAGAAGAGCTCTGCTGGATGGGACCAGTGAGGGTCCATCCAGTCCAGCCTCCTGGCCAACTGGGCCCTCTGGAGGGCCAACAACAAGGCAGAGAGGCCAAGGCCTTCCCCTGAGGAGAACCCAAGAAGAGTTCTGCTGGATGGGACCAGTGAGGGTCCATCTAGTCCAGCCTCCTGTCTCACACAGAGGTCAGCCAGTTCCCCTAGAGGGCCAACAACAGGGCAGAGAGTCCGAGGCCTTCCCCTGAGAAGAACATCAGAAGAGCCCTGCTGGATCAGGCCAGTGGTCCATCTAGTCCAGCCTCCTGTCTCACACAGAGGTCAGCCAGTTCCCCTAGAGGGCCAACAACAGGGCAGAGAGTCCGAGGCCTTCCCCTGAGAAGAACATCAGAAGAGCCCTGCTGGATCAGGCCAGTGGTCCATCTAGTCCAGCCTCCTGTCTCACACAGAGGTCAGCCAGTTCCCCTAGAGGGCCAACAACAGGGCAGAGAGTCCGAGGCCTTCCCCTGAGAAGAACATCAGAAGAGCCCTGCTGGATCAGGCCAGTGGTCCATCTAGTCCAGCCTCCTGTCTCACACAGAGGTCAGCCAGTTCCCCTAGAGGGCCAACAACAGGGCAGAGAGTCCGAGGCCTTCCCCTGAGAAGAACATCAGAAGAGCCCTGCTGGATCAGGCCAGTGGTCCATCTAGTCCAGCATTCTGTCTCCCACAGTGGCCAACCAGTTCCTCCTCGGGCTCAAATACTGCGCAGAGGAGCCAAAGCCTTCATAAGAACTGGTTGGCCACTGCGTGAGACGGGATGCTGGACTGGATGGACCATTGGACTGATCCAGCAGGGCTCTCTTCATGATGAGAGCCGTGCTGGATCAGTCCAATGGTCCATCCAGTCCAGCATCCCGTCTCACGAAGTGGCCAACCAGTACTGGGATTATGAAACTGCGGGGGAAATTGGGCGAAGCCGCGTGTCAAAATGCAGCCCCGCGGCTTCGGGTGTGAAATTGACCGATATTATCGGGGCAAACGGTGGCGCAACATCGAGGCAGCTCTAGTGCGAAATCAGCCCAGATGTGTACATAAGTAAACATCTTTCTTCTGTAGTATATCTGGCATAATATTCAGTGAAAACATTTCTGGTTCAAACGGAAGATTGATATTCATTATTTGTTCTGTGATAATGTGAATTTCTTTCCAAAACTTTTTGATTTTATCGCATGTCCACCATACATGATAAAAGGAGCCTATTTTAACTTTACACTTCCAACACTTATCAGAAGAATTAGAGTAATAGCGTGCAAGTTTATCAGGAGTTAAATACCAAAAGATTTTCTTTCATAGAGCCCTTTCTTATATGCTTAGGGAAATGCCGATCGCAACTTTGGAGTCAGGAAGCAATTTTTCTCCAGGCAAGTTTGGCTGGAGATCCTGGAGGTTTTTTGTCATCTTCTGGGCGTGGAACAGCCGTCACTGGGAGGGGTGTGTGGAGGAGGAGGTATTTGTGAATTTCCTGCCTTGTGCAGGGGGCTGGACTAGATGACCCTGGCGGCCCCTTCCAACTCTATGATTCTATGAAAGCTCCTTTCGTCAGGGATGAAGTGAGCCTTGACCAGTGTTCCCTCTAAGCTGAGTTAGTGTGAGCTAGCTCACAGTTTTTTAGCCTCCGGCTCCCACATTTTTGCCTCCACTCAGGAAGGAGGGCTCCAGAGCAAACTGATTTATGCAGCAGCCAAATCGCTCGCTCACAGCTTTAATGCCGGTAGCTCACAGAGTAGAATTTTTGCTCACAAGATTCTCCACAGCTTAGAGGGAGTATTGGCCTTGACTCTCAAAAACATAGCCCCCGAAAAGTTTGTTGGTCTCTAAGGTGCTTCTGGATTCTAATCTAACCGTTGCAGTTCCAGATCTACAGGCCACCTGGAGGCTAACCAAGCAAAACCAAAGAGCGGCACGGGGGAAGGATGCCAAAAAACACTAAGCTGCGCTCAACAAAAAAACAGTACAAATTCTATACAATTCCATTGACGTATAATAATAGAGGACTCAGTCCAATACAATTCAAACACTGCGATGAGATTAAATATAGAAAGCCATGGTGTACATCCAAAAGACACCGATATTTTAAGAAAACTGGGACCACGCCCGATCTCTTACCAACTCATACACCAGAACTCCAGTAACATACAGAAGAAGAGGAGGAGGAGGAGGAGGAGATTGGATTTATCCCCCGCCCTTCACTACCCAAGGGAGGCTCAGAGCGGCTTACAAACTCCTTCCCCTTCCCCTCCCCACAACAGGCACCCTGTGAGGTAGGCAGGGCTGAGAGAGCTCTGAGAGAAACGGCTCTTTTTCAAGGACAGCTCTGACAGAACTATGGCTTCCCCGAGGTCATCCAGCAGGTGCGAGTGGAGGCGTGGAGAATCAAACCCAGTTCTCCCAGATTAGAGTCCACGCTCCTAACCCCTCCACCAAACTGGCTCTCCAGGATGGGAAACTTGAACGCCTTAGTTCTTTTGCTTTGCTCTGGGACAAGGTTGCTATTTAGGGAGGAACTGTGGCTCAGTGGGAAAACATCTAGGCCAAGGGTTCAGTACCCTGGCATGAAGAAGAGGAAGAAGAAGAAGAAGAGGAGGAGGAGGAGGAGGAGGAGGAGGAGGAGGGGGAGGAGGAGATTGGATTTATGCCTCGCCCTTCACTACCCAAGGGAGTCTCAGAGCGGCTTGCAAACTCCTTTCCCTTCCCCTCCCCACAACAGACACCTTGTGAGGTAGGTGGGGCTGAGAGAGCTCTTGACAGAAACTGCTCTTTTTCAAGAACAGCTCTTATCAGAGCTACGGCTTGCCCAGGGTCATCCAGCCAGGTGCAAGTGGAGGAGTGGGGGAATCAAACCTGGTTCTCCCAGATTAGAGTCCACACACTTAACCACTACACAGTCTTCACAATTTAAATAGTCCCACAAAGGGTTTCAGAATTCAGAAGGCTTGGGGTTCCGTCTTTGGGAAGAAGCCTTGGGTGAAACGCGGGTTGTTATGAGCTAGCTCACACGTCAAGAAGAATATTGGAGGAACCTGCATGATTTAACCCACCTGGAGTCCGGCAACCCCAAGCCCCTGTTCTGTTCTGCAACATATAGAACAGGGGTGGGCAAACTTTCACACATATTGTGCGGCTTCCGGGAGGCTCCCCATCTATTTGCTCTCTTTCTTTCTGTCTCTCTTCCTTCATCCCTTCCCCATCTATTTGCCTTCTTTGTTTCTCTCTCTCTCTTTCTTTCCACCTCTTTCATTCTTTCTTTCCACCTCTCTCTTTCTCTCTCTCTTAGGCGTATAAATAGCATGAGCAAACAAATAAATATCCTTGGGTAAATAAATATCATCAGTGGCCCCGGTCACACAGAGGATTTGCCGCGCTAAAGGCACGAATGTCAGGCGGATTTTCGGGGCGTGATCACATCACAACATCTGGGAAGCATAGCGCACCCGTGGCAAACCCGTGGCGTCCCGCCGAAGATGCGCAGTAAAAAAAGTACCTCGGAAAGTGCACTAGTATCTGGAAAACGTGGGGCACGGGCGGGTGTCTGATCGCGGAAGTGCTAGTATCTCGTGGCCTCCGGCGCCCGTCCACGTCCCGTCGCAAACCGGATGTTTTTCGTAAGCGCATGCGCACAAGCACATAACTGAAAGCAGTGCTGCTTTGCAGAACTGTGCATGCACACAGACGCAAAACGCTTGCCGCGCTACTTCTTTGCCACGCTCCTGCATCGCTGTGTGATTGCCAGCTAACAACCTAAGCGTGAAGACTCAAGGGACCGTGTGATCGGGCTACCGCGCTTTATTTTGCTCCGGGGTGAACACCCACGCCTCCCCCCCCACGTTATCTGGCCCGTGTGACCGGGGCAAATATCTGTTTCCCCCCCTTTTGTTTTTATTTTTGGCAGTCTCGTTTAAAGCTAATAAAAAGCAGATTTGCGTATTTTCCAATTAAAAGCGTGTGTGTGATATTTGGTTGTGTCTTGCGGCTCTCAAACATCTGACGTTTATTCTGGGCGGCTCTTGCGTTAAGCGAGTTTGGCCACTCCCGATATAGAATTTGAGACATTAATCCTAGGGTTGCCAAATTTAAAATTCCTACCGGCGGGGGAGCATCCTGCTGCTCCGGGAGCTGGTCTGGAACGTGCGCGCGCGCCGCCGGAGCATCACCGGAAGTGACGTCACACGCTGGGTGGGGCCACGCCATTTGAGGGGAAAACCCGGCCACTGGTCACTTCCGGTGACGCGCATCCACGCCATTTGAGGGGAAAACTCTTTGTTTTCCCCTCAAATGGCGTGGCCCCGCCCCCAGCGTGCGACGTCACTTCCGGTGACGCGCACGCCGGGGAGGGGTTTCCCCTGGCCCCCGATTCCCCGGCGTCAGGGAACGGAGCCTCCGGGGCGGGGGATTTCCGCCCTACCGGGGGAGTTGGGAGCCCTAATTAATCCGCTTGCACTAATGATAAAGACTATAAAAATAATCTTTTAAAAATAACCGCTAGCCCATCCTCCCCTCTCTTCCCAGGACATGATAAGAGAAAAAAATGTAAGATCTTTGTAATCCACCTTTCTCCCGAAGGAAACCAAGGTGGGTTACAAAGACGGTCTCCTCCATCCCGTGGCCCCTCTGCCCCGGCCTTACCTCGCAGCCACTTGGAGTCGTACTTGACCGTCCGGAGAACTGGACTGCGATCCCCCGAACTTCGGTAGATCACCGCGTCGCTGGCTTGGAAGTCTGCCACAGTGGCGGAGTAGAGGTTCCCTTCTGGGAGGGAGAAGACAGAAAACGGAGAGGTCAGGAAGACGAACCCAGGCTGGAACACACCAAACCTCTGTTATTCGATTGTTAAAATAAAATAAGGAAATGTTATGTGTGCATGTATGAAGAGAAGAAGAAGAGATTGGATTTATACTCCAACTTTCACTACCCAAAGGCGTCTCAGAGCGGCTTACAAACTCCTTTCCCTTCCCCTCCCCACAACAGACACCCTATGGGTGCAGTCAGACGGCGTGCTGAGAGCGGGTTAAACTGCTCTGGTTCTAACCAGATTATATTTTATCTGGATAATCTCGATCACACGTCCCTTATTCCGCCTCACTGCGCAGTCACGTGAGACGGGATGCTGGACTCGATGGACCCTCTCTGGTCTGACCCAGCAGGGCTCTCTGATGTTCTCGTCAGGGGAAGGCCTCTGCCTCCCTGCCCTGTTGTTGGCCCTCCAGAGGAATTGGTTGAGGCCACTGAGTGAGACAGGAGGCTCGACTCGATGGACCCTCACTGGCCTGACCCAGCAGGGCTCTTCTGATGTTCTCAGGGAAAAGCCTCGGCCTCTCTGCCCTGTTTGTTGGCCCTCCAGAGGAATTGGTTGAGGCCACTGAGTGAGACAGGAGGCTCGACTCGATGGACCCTCACTGGCCTGACCCAGCAGGGCTCTTCTGATGTTCTCAGGGAAAGGCCTCGGCCTCCCTGCCCTGTTGCTGGTCATCCGGAGGAACTGGTTGGCTACTGTGTGAGACGGGATGCTGGTCTGATCCAGCAGGGCTCTTCTGATGTTGGATTTATACCTTGCCCTTCACTCAGAGTCTCAGAGCACCTTACAATCTCCTTTCCCTTCCCTGCCCCACAAGAGACATCCCGCGAGGCAGGTGGGGCCGAGAGAGCTCTTTCGTGGACTGCTCCTGAGAGAACAGCTCTGAGAGAACTTGTGACTGACCCAAGGCTCACCCAGCAGTTGCACGTGAAGGCGTGGGGAATCAAGCCCGGATTAGAGTCCGTGCTCTTAGCCACAACACCAAACTGGCTCTCAGTCGGACCGCCAAAACTGGAAACAGCCCCAGTAACAGGAGCAGGCTTCTGGGTATTCAACAAATCAGTGCAGTCCAAAGGCTGTGAGGACTGGGTCTGCTATGGTTTGGCCTTCCACTGAGACGAGTTGGCATTACTGAAAATATATGAAGTGGCCTTCTACTAAATCAGACCATTGGACCGTCCAGGTATTGTCTACTCAGGCAGAGAAAGGTCTTCCATGTCACCTCCTGCCTCATCCTTTTTAACTGGAGATGCTGGAGATTGAACCTGGGACCTGCTGCATGCCAAGCAGATGCTCTGCCACTGAGCCATGGCCCCTCTTGACCAGCTCTCCAAGGTCTCAGGCTGAGGGTCTTTCCCTTCACCTCCTGCCTGGTCCTTTTGAACTGGAGATGCCGAAGATTGAACCTGGGACCTCCTGCATGCCAAGCAGAGGCTCTGCCACTGAGCCACAGCCCCTCTTTACAGCTCTCCAGGGTCTCAGGTGGAGGTCTTTCACATCAGCTCCTGCCTGGTCCTTTTAACTGGAGATGCCGGGGACTGAACCTGGGACCTTCTGCATGCCAAGCAGAGGCTCTTCCACTGAGCCACAGCCCCTCTTTACAGCTCTCCAGGGTCTCACATGGAGGTCTTTAACATCACCTACAGCCTGGTCCTTTTAACTGGGGATGCTGGAGATTGAACTTGGGACATTATGCATGCCAAGCAGATGCTCTGCCACTGAGCCACAGCCCCTCGTTACAGCTCTCCAGGGTCTCAGGTGGAGGTCTTTAACATCACCTGCAGCCTGGTCCTTTTAACTGGAGATGCTGGAGATTGAACTTGGGACATTATGCATGCCAAGCAGATGCTCTGCCACTGAGCCATGGCTGCTCTCAGTTTGGCATTTTTATAAGGCACCTGGATCTTTTTGGGGAGGGGGGAGGGGGAAGGAGGGCTAGAAAACATTTTAAATAAACAGCAGCTCCCCCCCCAAATTGCTCCCCTGAGAAGACGCTCTGTCTCCACTTGTCTCATTTTGGAGGCAGGCGAAGGATCTAATTAGTCCACCAGGCATTCAGTACAGGAATTTAGTAAGATGGGTGGGGAAAGTGCTCTATTTTATAACGCTGTGAAAGATCTTTCATAGAGATATTAAAACCAATTAAACATGCCTAATTGCACGGAGACAGTGCGGTAGTGAGCGACTGGTCCTGGATTCAGATCTCTCCCAGCGCCAAAACTTACTGGAGGACCTCTGATGAGATAGATAGATAGATAGATAGATAGATAGATAGATAGATAGATAGATAGATAGATAGACAGACAGACAGACAGACAGACAGACAGACAGACAGACAGACAGACAGACAGACAGACAGACAGACAGACAGACAGACAGACAGACAGACAGACAGACAGACAGACAGACAGACAGACAGACAGACAGACAGACAGACAGACAGACAGACAGACAGACAGACAGACAGACAGACAGACAGACAGACAGACAGACAGACAGACAGACAGATAGATAGATAGATGATAGATAGATGATAGATAGATAGATGATAGATAGATAGATAGATAGATAGATAGATAGATAGATAGATAGATGAAGAAGAAGACAAAAATGTGTGAGCCGGAGGCTAAAAAACTGAGATCATACTAACTCAGCTTAGAGGGAACACTGCTCTAGGTGAGGTCTCACCCGAGCAGAGTAACGCGATACCATCATCACCCCCCACGTGATCTGGACGCTATACTTCTGTTGATACAGACGCAACGATGTCACTTCCTGTGCAGCCGGAAGTGAAGTCAACGCATTGCCGCCGACGCTCTAGCATTCAGAAGAAACCACAGAGTTCTGGCTCCATACTAGAGAATCCCTGGCAACATCCCTATGTTTCCTGACAAGGGACCTCGCCCCCAAACAGGTGAGTCTCCCCCCTGTTGACAGCTTCCTGCCGGCCACGCTATACGTAGACCAATTGGGGTCGCGCCAGGTCCTCACCAAATGGCTCGCGTGCCAGCCCGATTTGTTAACCATTTGAGCAATCCCTCCCCCCAGTCTGGCCCTCTCTGCATTCCAGCTGCTGTCGGCAGATGTGTTTCTAGCGGCGCCATTCGTCACTCCTTGAAGGAGCCCCCCCAGGAAAGCCGTCGCCGGATTGAGCATCCGCCTTATAATATTTTGCCTTATCGGGCACACGCTATTTCTATATAATCACATATGGCCACAAACAGCTAATGAAATCTGTCGGATTTCGGCGCCTGCTCAGCTGCTCCCCAGAATCTTAAGTGTGGAAACGTCTAAAGGAGGAAACATTCAGATTGTCAACAAAAGATGAGCATCTCGGGACATATTGGGTGGGTGGGTGTGTGGGGGATGGTAGGTGGGTTTTGCTTCTGTTGGGTCTTAAAGTGTAATGTTTTAATTGTCACTTGGAAGCCACTTGGAAGGCACCTCGGTGGTGGAAGGGGCTGTCAAGTCGCAGCTGGCTTACGGTGACCCCAGAGGCTTTTCAGCCCTAGAATTTCTTGGTGGTCTCCCATCCAAGTACTAACCAGGGCCGTGGGCACTCCATGAAATTGCTGAGCGGTCGGGTTAGAACGGATAAAAGGAAGTCCTTCTTCGGCCAAAGAGTGATGAACCCATGGAATTCACTGCCACAGGAAGAGGTGGCGGCTACAAGCACGGAGGGCTTCAAGAGGGAATTAGATCAGCATCTGGAGCAGAGGTCCATCAGTGGCTATTAGCCTCAAGGGATAGATAGGGGCTCTGGGGCAAGGGATGCTCTGTCTTCTTGGTGCCTGGGGGGGGGGCAACAGTGGGAGGGCTTCTAGTGTCCTCCTGGTCCCCCTGTTGGACCTCCTGATGGCCCCTGGTATTTTTGGCCACTGTGTGACAGTCAGAGGTTGGACTGTATGGGCCATTGGCCTGATCCAACATTGGCTTCTCTTCTGTTCTTATAAGAGGGAGTTGGATCAATATATGGAGCAGAGGTCCATCAGTGGCTCTTAGCCACAAGATATAGATAGGAACTCTCGGTCTCGGGCAAGTGATGCTCTGTCTTCTTGGTGCTTGGGGGGGGCAACAGTGGGAGGGCTTCTAGTGTTTTTGGCCCCACTGGTGGACCTCCTGAGGGCACCTGGTATTTCTGGCCACTGTATGACAGAGTGTTGGACTGGATGGGCCACTCGCCTGATCCAACATTGGCTTCTCTTGTGTTCTTATAAGAGGGAATTAGATAAGCATATGGAGATAGGGACTCTGGAGCAAGTGATGCTCTGTCTTCTTGGTGCTTAGGGGGGTCAACAGTGGGAGGGCTTCTAATGTCCTGGCCCCACTGCTGGACCTCCTGATGGCACCCGGTATTTTTGGCCACTGTGTGACACAGAGTGTTGGACTGGATGGGCCACTGGCCTCATCCAACATTGGCTTCTCTTGTGTTCTTATGGTGCGGGGGGGAGGCAACAGTGGGAGGGCTTCTGGAGTCTTGGCCCCACTGCTGGACCTCCCGATGGCACCTGGTATTTCTGGCCACTGTGTGGCAGAGTGTTGGACTGGATGGGCCTTTGGCCTGATCCAACAATGGCGTCTCTTATGTCCTTATGACCCTGTTTAGCTTCTGAGATCTGACAAGATCAAGCCAACGTTGGCCCTCCAGGTCAAGGCAAGAGAAGAACAGAGGTGGTCTGCCATTGCCTGCCTCTGCGTAGCAACCCTGGGCTTCCTTCGTGGTCTCTCATTCCAAGTACTAACCATGACTGACCCTGCTCAGCTCCCGAGATCTGATGAGATCGGGCTAGCCTGGGCCAAGAGATGTTCAGAGGTGGTTCGTCGTTGCCTGCCTCCATAAGCTGTCAACCACCTTAGATGACAGTTCTCAGCTGCTGCAAGTTAATCACTTCGGTCAGCCTAAGCAACAGTCCTGGTAACAAGCCCAGCAGGTAGGGGGTGAGGACTTCTGCAGTCATGAAAGCTAACACTTGGGCAGGAAAAACTCTCTCCAAGGAGACCCATTTCTTGACACAGAGTTAGGGGGGATCCTAGAGGTCACCCACTCCAACCCCCCTTGCACAGTGCAAGAACGAGTCAACGACAGCACCCCACTCTGCTTAAAGGAACACACGCCTTTAAAAAAAATGTTTTAAAATGATTGAAAAAAGTATTTCCGGGAGACATTCTTGTGGGGCCGTGCCTTCAAGAAAGGGGGCGGGCCCCCCAAATGCCCCACCATGGCTAGGGGCCTGTCCTGCACAGATGCTCTGGCATTTTATGTAAAGGTCAGATGGAAGTGATCCTACCTTTGTCTGTCACAGACATACCTGCAAAGAGGGCAACGTTGGTCTGTTTTGCATCGAAGGGGCACCTGGCCTGCCCGTTTAGTTCCTCGCCTTCCTGCTCCAAACTGCTAATCTAGAAGTCATGGGAGGGAGAGATGACAGTTGAAGGCAGGTCAAGCCTATCCCCCCCACCCTCCTCACCAAAATCGAGGAGGGTCCCCCACCCCATGGATGCTACAGTATGGCCTCTTCTGTCCCCGGAAGCAACCTCAGGAGGCCCAAAGTACCCAGCATGCATTGCACTGTCCTGTCCCATCCAGCATGGGTTGAAAGGGCTACAATTGTCTCTTGGCAAGCCCCGTCTTTTGGTACCTTGTAGGTCCGACACATGGGGTTGAATGCGTTCGTCCCGCAAGCTAAGAGGGTTTGGTCGTTCTTCAGAACCAAGACTTTAATGTAGTTGTAACATTCGTTCTGCGAAAGGAAGAAAGCCGAAGGGTAAAGGCTCAGCTTATTGTCGAGGGGAGGGATAATGACGGCATTTTACACTGCTCCCAGCTCAGTCCCGAGCCGGCTCAGGATCGAAGACAGAAGAACGTCTCCAAAAAGGGGACTAGATAGATTCATGGAGGATAGGTCTATCAATGGCTACTAGCCATGGGGAAGGAGGGGAACCTCCACATTCAGAGGCAGTGAAGCCCTCGATCCCAGAGCCAGAAGGCAATATCAGGGGAAGGCCTTAGCCTCTCTGCCGTGTTTGTTGGCCCTCCAGAGGAACTGGTTGGCCCCTGTGTGAGGCAGGAGGCTGGACTAGATGGACCCTCCCTGGTCTGACCCAGCAGGGCTCTTCTGATGTTCTCCTCAGGGGAAGGCCTCAGCCTCTATGCCCTGTTGTTGGCCCTCCAGAGGAATTGGTTGGCCCCTAGGGGTGTGAGATGGGATGCTGGACTAGATGGACCTTCACTGGTCTGATCCAGCAGGGCTCTTCTGAGGTTCTTTTCAGGGGAAGGCCTTGGCCTCTATGCCCTGTTTGTTGGCCCTCCAGAGGAACTGGTTGAGGCCCCTGTGTGAGACGGGATGCTGGACTAGATGGACCCTCACTGGTCTGATCCAGCGGGGCTCTTCTGAGGTTCTCAGGGGAAGGCCTTGACCTCTCTGCCCTGCTGTTGGCCCGCCAAAGGAACTGGTTGACTACTGTGTGGGACAGGATGCTGGACTAGATGGACCACTGGTCTGATCCAGCAGGGCTCTCCTGATGTTCTTTTATCTTGATAAAGGAACCTCAACAAATCTTACCCGAAGCTTTCCTCTCATGGCGCAGTTAACCATATCCTGGGTCTTCCATGTGAGATGCTGTGGGTGGAGAGGAGGACAGAGAAATCAGAAGTACGTAACTGTCAGTGGAAAGAGAAATTGGGTTGTAGGTAGTACACAAGGCCTTCCTGATAAGTTTTAGCTAGCGTTGCCTGGAACCTTGAAAGCAGAGATCAACACAGAGTTGTTTGGTAGAACTGTCTTCCAAGTATGGCATGGCTGTTCAGCCTATCGGAGAAGGGTTCCACACAGTATATAAAATATCCCAATAGGAATGAGTTCTAGGTAGCCCGTAGAACTGTCCAATAAAAGCAGAGCTTTTTGGCCACTGTGTGACCCAGAGTGTTGGACTGGATGGGCCATTGGTCTGATCCAATGTGGGCTTCTCTTATGTTCTTATGTACACTATACCAAACTGGGTACACTGTATACACAATTAAATTATGGGACAGAATACACAATATACAAATATACAAACATCAACAAATTCTAATTATTTCCAAAAATGGGCATTTTTTTCCGATGTGTTACAGTCTTGTGTATTGTGTTCCACAATTTAGTTCTGTATACAGTTTAGGTAAAGGTAAAGGTTCCCTTGCTCGAAATCCAGTCAAGTCCGACTCTAGGGTTGCGGTGCTCATCTCCGTTTCAAAGCCGAAGAGCCAGCGCTGTCCGAAGACGTTTCCGTGGTCATGTGGCCAGCATGACTAAACACCAAGGCACACGGAACGCTGTTACAGTTTACCCCTCACTAAATATAACCAAATGTAACGTATTGTTTATATCAGTTAAGACATTCGTCTCAATTGATGTGTAACTTGGGGGGGGGGGGCAACTGTGGGAGGGCTTCTAGTGTCCTGGCCCCACTGCTGGACCTCCTGATGGTACCTGGTATTTTTGGCCACTGTGTGACCCAGAGTCTTGGATTGGATGGGCCACTGGCTTGATCCAACATGGGCTTCTCTTATGTTCTTATGCCATCTATGGATTGTTTCATTTAAATTATTTATCTGTTGGGAAGTGTTTTTAATCTCGATGCAGTTTATCTTGCTGCTCATCGCTCGGAGCCCTGAGAGCTCGGCGACGGAGCGATCCATAAATCGAAATTATGCAGAGATAAATAAATAAAATCAAGAGAGACCAGACACTTGTATCGCAGAGATCCACTGTTCACACCCTCACCCTGGTCGGAGAGAAATCGTCCTTGGTCCTCCGGAGGTCAAAGGCGTAGACGTGGTCACTGGTTACCGGGCGGGGGAAAGAAAAGAAAACAGTCAGCGGTCATGCGGCTGAATCCAAGCGTCAGGCGGGCGGTGAGGGTGGGGGGAAGAAATCGGACTTGCCAAGCATTTGTGTTACCTGACCCCCCCACTCCTCCCCAGCTCCAGTTCTCTGCTTGCTAACCCCAGGTGTGTGGGGTTGGATCTGTCCCTCCCTCCAAACAACCAGTGGGAGATGGGGGGGCGCTTATGAGGAGCAGGAAGGAATGGCCACCATTTCCCTGACATGCCTACGTGACCCGGAAGTGACGTAGGCACGTCAGGGGGTGACACTCTGCTTTTTGGGCAAAAACTCTATGGTAGATTAAAACTAGAAGAGGAGGAGGAGGAGGAGATTGGATTTATACCCGGCCCTTCACTTGGCATCTCAGAGAGGCTTAGAATCTCCTTCCCGTCCCCTCCCCACAACAGACACCCTGTGAGGTTGGCTGAGAGAGCTCTTTCGAGGACTGCTCTTGAGAGAACAGCTCTGAGGGAACTTGTGACTGACCCAAGGTCGCTCCAGCTGCTGCATGTGGAGGGGTGGGGAATCAAACCTGGTTCTCCCAGGTTAGAGTCTGTGCTCTTAACCACTACACCAAACTGGAGAAGAAGAAGAAGAAGAAGAAGAAGAAGAAGAAGAAGAAGAAGAAGAAGAAGAAGAAGAAGAAGAAGAAGAGAAGAAGAAGAAGAAGAAGAAGAA